AATTAGGTGATATTTCAAAATTGGTATGGGAAAACTAGTTTGTGGTTTTTCTCAAATTTGGTGGACAAGTGTCTGGAAAGAGCACTTTTTAAGTGAACAATATTGCTTTATTTTTTCAACTAAATTATTTACTATCTTTGATAGAACAGTATAGTAGTGACGCTGCGTCTCCTGCCAAGAGACTGAACTAGTTCCTTTTCATAAAAAGTCCAAACTAAGTAGCTCTTTCTCGCTCTCAGCCATTTGAATGCACGAAAACAAGGGCTGCGTGCACCCCTCGATGAAAAAATACCGTCTCCAACTTGTGTAACTCAAAAGCGTACTTTGGACAGAGGAGAAAAAGACACAAATACTCCCCAGAGCAAAAAACAATTTTTTTTTTTTAATCTGAAACAAAATTAACAAGACACAGCTTTTTTACTTCCTTGATCGGTATAAGGTAAAAAAAAAAAAAAAAAGAAAAAAATCGTCGAAGTTCATCTTTTAGCATCGCGTTCTCGACTGTTCAAGAGAGTCGAGTTGCGCGTCGCTATCTTTAGAGCCGAGCAGCGATGCACGCGACGCTATTGGATTTCCATGCCGATTATCATCTCCCCGTACGCGGTATCTCTTCCAACCGATCTCGGCAATAAAACCGTGCCAACGATCGGCAACTTACACGACTGCCGCAATTTTTGCGCGGGTATCGAACGACGAACAAATCAATTTGCCGTAAAAGTACAAACGAGTGTCGACGAAAAAGTAGATGAACAAATACTATACAAAAAAAAGGGGGGGGAAGGGGGGGTTCTAATAAATTATCCAATTTGCTCGCGTGTGCCGGTAACGTATGAAAACTCGTTATATCCTCGCGATACGCAAACGAGAGACGCGATATGAGTCTCCTCGCGATAATTTGCTCGTTCGCAGAGAGGAAGTGAAGTAAAAAAGCCGAGAAGGGCAGAAAAAACGAGCGAGACGGTGAGAATTTGATGTGGACGTATTAGCACGCTCGGATATGTGGGTTCTTATGGGAGAAAACGAGTTCCGCCAGGAAATTTCGCCCCGACGAACGGGAGAGCCTCGGTCGAAAAAATAAAGAGCAAGAAAAGAAAGGAGGGACGTGGTGGAGGGAAAAAAAACCAGTACGTAAGCAGGGGGGGGGGAGGTTGACAAAAAAAAAAAAAAAAAAAAAAAGAGAACAAGGGGGTAGACCGGTCTGAAAGGAGAAAACGATGAGCGCCGATTACTTTTGTGTGTACGAAAAGCACAAACCACCAGCATGTACCCTGCAACGTAAAACAATACATCACCGAAAATCGCGGTAGGTAGAGCTCTGTACACGTGTCGTACCGATTTTTCACCCCCCCGATTTTAATGTCATGCGTACAATGCTTCGTGGGATGATGTGCAGGTACTTTTCTTCAGACTCGCTGAGTCTCATTGCCTACTTCAATTTACTGCGGTATCGAGGGACTGCAAACATTATAGTTTTTCTTTTTCTATATCATCATTCTATGAAAAATTGTCAAAAACCACCCTCCAAGTTACTCGAGCAGTTTCAAAAATACGTTTCGGACAAACATGCGTGATAGAAAAAAAAACGCCCTAACTTTTTTTCACGTTCAGCTCTCTGAGGACCCGAAACATATATAGGCTCTTTCTCTCTCACGTATACATATTTATACATAAATGCGATACACGCAGGCAGCTGTATACGCTCGGCCGGGCACGTCCTATACCACTGCTATATACCGATGCAGGTATATTTTTTGTGTTTTTCCCTTCCTCCCGCGCAACGTGTGTGCCACTGTTATTTCACGTACAAGCGTAAGTACATTTATACGTAGGTACATGACTATATATATTGAATTTGTAAAGGATTCAAAGTTTAGTACAGTATATCAAATGTATATGTATACATGTCATGGCTAAATTACAATGTATGTATAAGTCGTGTACGAAGNTATATATATATGCGTGTGTGCGTGTGTGTGTGTGTGCTCCGCACTGGGGGCTTTGTTCAGCCCCGCTAGCTGATGGCAAACTCTCCCATTGTCTTTCTCCTTTCATCGCGGTGACACATTTGTACCCCATATTATACCGCACGTGAGCGATCTCTGCTCCGCAATGCCGGTCCTTCTCCTCTCGCGTACCGTATACACGCGCATTGCTACACATATTGTGCACAGAGGCTAGATAAACGAATTCTGCACGACTGTACTCACATTACACACACGTGAGTGTACAGATACACTTCCGGGGGAGAGAGAGAGAGAGAGAGGAGGTTTGTACACATACGTCGAGCGTGTAATAGAAAGGGGGTGAAAGCTGCTCGGGCAGACTGGCCTGATTTTCCTCGTACCGATTTTTGCTGCGCACTGCAACGCTGGTTTGAAAAACCTTTGACTCTCTGTTTCTCTCCTAATCGCCTTTCTTTCCGAGCATGCGAGCCAACACAGAGAACGAAAATCACCCATACAGCATATCTCTCGTTAACTGCTGGTACCTACGAAGGTTCATGCGGTGTATCGGATCGACGAGATCGAACAATGGCTCGCTATTTGCGGGCGCGGGTCAAGTTTATACAGGTAGCGCGGAAGAGTGACATTTTTTTTTTTCTTTTCTTGTTTCTTGCCTCTCAATGAGGATAATGTTTAATTCACGCTCGCCCGATCGGTGTAATTGGGCGTGTGTGCTCGTGACTTTTTTTTCTCCATTCGCTGTTTTGTGCTCACCCGTGCGTACATACGCGCACGTATACGTTAAATAGAATGAATATCAACGTGATTCTCGTTTCCTGCCCCCTGTTTTTTTTTTTCTTTTTTTTTGTTGCTATCGCAAACATTTTAATAATACGTGTTGTACATTGGTTTTTTGGGTGAATCCCTCTATCTTTAAATATGATTGATCGGTGGTGAGCTCGAGTCGGCGATTTTCACGTAAATACACGCCATTGCGAAGTTTCCGGTGTACGCGACTGGCCTTGTAATTGTCAGGTGTACCGCAGTTGGCAACGCATCGATTCGCACGAACGAATGACTGATATTCACCCCCACCGCAAATACCGATCCAATCCTCGAACGCGAAACTTGAAACTTTCCTCGTCCTCCCCACTATCGTTATCATATACACACGTGTTGGTACATGCACAAAAGAAATGTCATATCGGACTAATACCTTCCGCATCGTATATATGTACGGTGCAGCGGGCCCATTGTTTGAATCTCGCGATAAACAATCCAAACGATACTTATCCCGTGAAAGGTCCTGAAAACTTTGCTTTGACCAAGCCAAAGAGAGAGACAAGAGATGCGTGCGTGTATATTGTGTGGAGAACAGGACGGGAAAAATCTGTCGCGTAACACACGAGTAGTCGTGATAGCAATAACGTTAGCAGGTACGAAAATCGCACAGGCCCCGAAAGAAGTGAAGTCCGGAATTGTGCGTCACCCCCCCTTCCCTCTCTCTCTCTTTGACCTGTACTTACGCACCGACAAAAGATTCCGTTCCACACCCTATGCAGTTTGGTGCAAGTAGGTACATTAGAGAAAGTTGGCGTGAATCAGCAGGCTTATATTGCACGGTGACAAACTTTCGGGGGGGGGGGGGGGGTCGACCGAAACGCGTTCGTGGAGTTGGTATACCTACTCCCTTGCACAGTAAATTTTTCTGAACCTATTATGAGATAAGTGTGTTTACGCGTTTCTCGCAAGTACCGCGCCCACGTTGCTGTTGGCATGCGTATCTAGATTTTTGCTTCTCAGTCTGTCCGATTGTCCGAGGTAACGCGTGGAGTTTGAGAAAAATGGCGCGCAAACGAGCCGCCACCTTTCACCATATTATGGCCATTTCTTTGGGGACGTGAATCACGCTGTTGCGCAATACCGCGGGGAAAAAAAGGGCGAGGAAGCAAAAGTATGTACGTATATACATTACACTGTGTACGCAACAAGGAGGAGGCAGTGTACATAATAAGGTCGCCAAGCCAAGCGAATTTGGAGTATGCGTCGCGTGCGCAACGCTGCTTGTACAAGTGCTCGGCAACAATGGGAGTGGATTTCGTAAAATTTCCTCTCGATTCCACGGCTGCGCGCTGCTCCGATGTCTAATTTTTTCCTCCTTTCTTTCTTTTGTTCTTCCTTTTCCTGCACAAAGTACGTTTGTCTGTTTGGAGAGTCGCTTCCCCCCCCCCCCCACGTGTATTATGTGTTTTGGGTATCGTGCAAATAATCGCCATCCGATTGATTGGCGAGCTTGCGATCATTGTATACATTATTTAGCGCAGGGATTTACTTGGTCCATAACAATGGTGTTTTGGCGATCGGTTGTTGCCGAAGCCCAATTTTGCACATCGATGTGTGTACACTTATGGTTAAAATGGCTCCAATACAGATTTACGATTTGCTGTTCGAGAAATTCAACAGTTATTATTATTAGCGAGATTTTTCTGATACAAACACGACCATGTACATCAAGTGAAGTTAAGGTACCTCGCTTGTCATATTTTTATCTCTTGTACATATACGTTTACGTTTACACGTAGTAGCGTTGATTTCATGAAAGTTATCTAGACGTACAATCATTATTTTAAGCCACTATCATCATCCTGCACCAGCTACCACCCACTTTTTGTAAAAAACAATGTAGCACATCAGGATCTTGAAAAAAGTAAGATAATGGTACAACATGTACCAGTGCATAACACGTGTCTTTTTAAGCTACAACAGAGTAACGATTGGACTTTAGATTTGTATATGTATATACAGTGACCCAATAAACATTTATAATGTACATTTAGAGGTTTTTTTTATTAGATCTCATGTTACCCATACAAACATGCAAGTATATTATACTGCTCGAAAAACCATACAATAGTCCGACATTTATGCAAATTCCTAGATATACATATATAGCATGTAGTTTAACAAAGTAGTGCTAAAGAATGAATAAAAAAATAAAAAAATAAAAAAATTAAACAGTGGTCTAACTCGTGTTTTTTTTTTCCATTTGCATTGCAGGTCGCGCAGTCGGAGCGTCACGAGCGTGCCCGGCGTACCTCAGCATTCGCACCAGCAGCAGCAGCAGCAACAGGAGGGTGGCAAGGAGTCCACGGGCCCCGATGAGATGTGGGCCCCGAGCTCCCACCATCGGGAGCTGCCCGTCGACGTGCCCGACACCCTGCTCCAGCAGGCCTACCCCAACCAAAAGGTAACGCCAAAACAACAACAAAAACAACTACCCAAGCGCCCCCGCCCCGTATCGCCCCCGGTCCTCCCCCAGAGGGCCGAGCCCCAATCGCCCCGCACTCCAAACTCCGCTGCACCGCCAGTCACACCTGCGCCCACCAATGCCCGTGCAACCCACGGTAGCGCTAGCGAGACCCCATTGCCCCTTGATCATCCGCTCTTGTTCGCCAACGAGGACAACTCGGCCCCGGGTAAGCCCCGCGAGATCCAGCTGAGCATCGACTCCGAGTCGACCGAGAGACTGCTCATCGACGATCTCGACGTCGACGTGATCGAGGTCGACGTGATCGGCGACGACGCCCCGATCGAGTCTCCTACCGATCGTAAATCGAGCATCGTCAAAGCCTACCGAACCTCGGACGACGATGACGACGAGGAGGAGGAGGAGCTAGAGGAGGACCTTGATCAGCTGGAAAGTAGAAAGGTCGAGGTGCACAGGGAGCCAGCGGGCATCGAGGCCGACGAGGATTACCCCTTCGCGAAGGAGGACTACCCGACGATGCTCAAGACCTGCAGCGACGACTCGGCTAGCCCGAGGAGCTCGTCGGGCAGGTCGGATAGCACCGTGCCCCTCGACAGTAGCCTCGTGTTGCGCAGCAGCGAGCTCAGCAAGGAGTCGACCATGTCGAGGAACTCGAAGCTCCCGCAGATCGTCGTGTTCGGCAAAGGCAGTAGCGGGGCCAGCAGTAGCATGTCCTTTGACAACCCGGCCTACGGCCTGGCCGATTTTTCCGACTCCAAGGCCCACCTCGTGCTGAGGCCCCTCGAGCAAGTGAACGACCTCGCTCTGCTCATCGACAACGGCAAGGTCCACCACGACAAGCTGGACGACAAAAAGTCCACGTCGAGCGGCCAGAAGAAGAAGAAGCAGCAGCGCAACAAAGTGTCGGGCCCCGAGGCGGAGGAGCTGTTGAGGATCGGCTCGACGGACGAGCTTTTAGGACTGGGCGCCTCACCGGTGACGAGGGGCCGGAAAAAGCGGCAGCAGCACTACTCGAGCGGCTACTCGACCCTACGGAGCGACGCGTCCGTCGATTACGATCAGGTCGACTTTGCCTCCTTCCTCGTCGTCGCCAGCAACAAGAACTACCGCGAGGTCGCCGTCGACTGTCCACCGGACTTTGTCCCCGTCACAAAGTCCCACCCCGTGTATCCGCCACCCTCGCGCTCCAGCACCCTCGAGTCGAAGCGCACCGACCCCACTCCCTCCTCGAGGTCCAACAAGTCCGCTAGCGCGACCAAACGGAGCGACAACAACAACGAGGTGGCCTCGATCCAATCGTCCCTGTCGTTGTCCACGTCGTCCATCCAGTCGTCGTTGTCGTCGCCGTTAACCAAAAGCCCCCGAGCAGTCTCCCTGGCCATGATTAACCACAACCACAACAACAACAACAACAACGACAACGACAACGACTTTGAGGAGAGGAGCGAGGGCAGCAAGAAGGTAAGCCGAGCGGGCTCGAGGCTCAAGAGCCTGCTCGTCGACGGGCTGAACTCCCTGAGGTTGGCCGAGCACCAACGCCACCACCACCACCGCTCCGACCTCCCCGCTTGTCCGAGTAGCATCGCCGGACGCTTTAGCGCCATCTGCACTGACAATCCGCTTATCACTGACACGCACAACCACCACCACACGCATTCACCCGCACCGACCCACCACCACCGCACCAAAACACCAAACGCCCCGAGCACCGGGTCCTTCTATGTCTTCTCGCCGACCGCCGCGATCCGCGACTCCACCACCGACGAGGAGTCGTCCTCGGTAGGGGGCGCTAGCGTCGACTGTACCCTAGCTACCTCCATTGGGGACCACTCGGCCGTGGACTACGTCATTTACGAGGACGTCGAGATGACCAAGCCGATGGCTTGCCCCGCGAACGACGATGAAGACGACGGCCACGTGTCCGTCCAGGTCGCGAACCAAAACTCGCGGAATTCCTTGAGGGAGGCCAGGGTGCGCTTCACGCCGACGAGCTACTGCTCCCGGTCCCTGGCGGAGGAGGAGTCGGCGGACGCGCAGAACAGGGACAACTCGCGGTTGTCGATGGAGCGGCGGGAATGGGGTCGCACGAGCGGGACGGGCCAGTCGCTGAGCCGGAGCGAGCTGGACTTGCTGGCGGAGCACTCGGTGGGCGGGGCCGAGAAGTCGTCGCGGCTGCGGAGGTGGCTGTCGGACGAGAGGTTGGCCCCGCGGAGCAACCTGGCCGTGGTTTTCGACGCAGATAGCGAGTCGCTCGACGTAGACGGGGGGGACTTTGATGTTGGCGAGTCGGCGAGGGACCGGGGTACTAACGGTGATGGCGACGAGGTGGTGGAACCGATGGAGCTAACCGGGAAGAGAACCGGACAGGTAAATCTTGGCGCTCGAGGGGCGGGTTTTTCCTGGATTCTTTTTCGGCTCCTACGTGGTTGTTTTGATGTTTTTTTTTCATTCGTTTGATTGTCGTCCACATCAGGGAGTCGCGAAGAATCCACGAATACTCGACGTCTCCAAATTGCAAGTCGGATTGAGCATGACGGGTTATGGAAGGGTTACTTACATACTCCCACTAGTGGAAATATACCTCGATGACGCTGCATGCAGGGACCGATATACCAACTCACAATGTACCTATACAAAAAAACACAGCACAGTAGTGGACAACATCATAAATATATTTATGCACGCACACATTGTACACAATTCAATGTACCCTATTTTGATGATACACACGCACGCATGTTATTTCCTTGGCTTGTAAGTAGACATTTGGCTAGCCCATTTCCTGTTTTTTTTTTTTTTTTTTTTTTTTTTTTCCTATTAATAACCCATTCCTTCCCTCTTTCCTGTACCGCGTAGTTTTATTGTACCTCCGTCTCCACTAATACGTATTATGAGGAGCGAAATGATGATATGATTTTCGCTCGGACAGGTAATTTTCAGCGCTCTGTCGCAGGGTATACACGTATACCTACTTTCCATTATGGAAAATTATCTTAATGTCCAAGGCCAGCGGGGTCTCGAGTTTTTGTGTGCATATATAATTTTGTTTTCGCAGATTTTTCCTTACATTTTTCTTTCTCTTCAATTTAATTACAACACGAGTTCAATCTCGAAAGCGATTGCGTATAGTTACGCTCCGAGAAGAAAATTGCACATATATCTGGATGTATAAAATATATACCTGAAATGCTAATGTACCTGTAGTAGAATGAAATGATCGTCACACAATAATTGAACCAGAGTAAACAAAAACAAAAAAAATAATAATAATAATAAATAATAAAAAAAGTAGGTACGAGCATTTTGTGTGGCGAAAAGTAAAAGGAAAAAGCAAAAAGCCGAGACGAGTGCGAAAGGTAGCGAAACGAGCAACAAAAATGAGAGGAAGCGATGGTATTCCCGTGGAGGTGGAATTAACGGGGAAAACGTGTGTTTTCCGAACGAATGTTTCCAGGCCGCGCTCAATGGCGTCAAGCCGGCCATTCCGCCCAGGGACCAAAAGAGAGCCCCGGCGAGGCCGCCCAAGGATAATCTACGACTCGCAGCCCAGAACAACAATGTCGAGGAGAGCGGCAGCATCGAGACCGTCAAGACAGAGCCGACCCAGCAGCAGCTGCATTCCATACGAAAGTATCAGGTGTGGTTTTTTTTTTCCTTTCCCCTCCCTTCCTCTCCCCCTTTTTTTTGCTTCTCCCCTCACCTTCCTTCCCTATACCTTCCGAGTACGAGGTATACAATTTTTTTTTTTCTTTGTTTTTCGAAAGAGGCCCAAAGTGTACCTATACGCGGAGGTGCAAAAGCGTTGTGTATAAGTATACCTGATGATGGTGAGTCACCGGTTGGAAACAACGTGGCCTACGGTGCGTTTTAAAGAATTGCACGAGGGGCGTCATCCATGAATTTTCTAAACTGTGTGTATCTATACCTCTCTTGGCACTTTTATTTTGATGGTTAATATGTGTCTGTGTTTTTTCATCCCCATAAACAATTTCCACTGTAGAATTAAACGCACGAGTAAATTTGAAAAGTCAAGAAGGAGGGCCAAGTGTTTAGCTCACCGAAATCTTACTCGCGAGCGAAGAAAAGTCACTCGCTAAGTTTCTTGGCAGGTGATGCGTATTGTAATGTATAAATGTATACATGTACAGGGTCACTCGCGTCGTTACATTTTCTATTTCGCTCTCCGAGTCGCTCTGATTCCCTTGGAAATTTCGCGAAATTCTCCGCTGGTGGACCCGATTGTGCCAACATTTGCGTTTTTTCATCGCTGATGATCGTACATTTCGCGCAAAGTACGTATTTTGGGCGAGCTCCCAAAGAGATGCACAAAGATTTAAAAAAAAAACACCAAACTTTGGTGTTTCGTAGCGGGTATAGTTTGATTTTAGTCCACAAAGTCACAGGTGAGGAGTGGATCTATATTTGACCGTAGCTCGTATGCAGCTCCCAATCGATCCAATGGGATATCTTTGCCAACTTACTTTTTTTGTTTTTAATACCAATACTACCTCGATCTGTTGACCCATTGGTAGAGAGTCCTGATTTCTGTTCCGCGCATTTTTTTAGGGTTCGGCTTTTCGTCGAATCCCGTTACTCCTCCACGTGTACTTACGTGCAAGGGTTGCAGGTACATCACGCCAAAAATAAATCGCAACTCCCACCCGCGTACTAACTTGGCGTTGTGTACACACTCGCAGGATTTATCCTGGCAGGCTCTTTGGGTCCTTAATATATCGTTCGTTCTCCTCTCGAGTGCACGCGCCCGTTGTTCCCACTGCCTGCGATGGAATTGAAAGAAACGGCTCGTGTCTGAATGTGCGCCTATATGTAAATGCCCCGGTGATGACTACAGCGCAGTGCCCATGTAGCTCTATATAAATATAGGCCCCTTAGAGAGTGGGTGCGTACGTGCAACTGATAGCTCATATGGATAGTAGGTATATGTAGATGGACGCGGAAAAGGGGCTTCTTTTCCCTCTCTCTGTAACTGTGGACTCGGTTCTTTGGCTTGTTTTCTTCATGCACTCGAGCACTTTGAGTGGTTTTGCGCGTCGAGCTGCACCAGGCTTTGTCTCGATTTTTCCAAATCCACGCCCACTCGTGATTCAGTCCGAATCAATTTGGTGTACTCATCTCACGTGGCATGCAAGTATACCTATACCAAATTTCCCGGGCTCCCGTGACTTTGAGCTAACGGAGGCTAAAGTAAATTTACTTGTATTGGCCTAGTCACCACCTTACTCCCTCTACTTTTTTTTTTTCCTTATAACCTGCGGTGCCGCTCTCGGACGTAATTGTACGCTGTGTGGGTATATAGGCTCGTTATTCCCATCGCCGAGAAGAAATGCGAGTCTTTATCATCCGTATTATATACCCATGCATCGGTATGTATACCTACATAGCTGTACGCAGAGGATGAGATGTCCATAGACGTGTGATGGACCCGCGTCCTCACGTATAGGTACGGAAGAATTCTAATTTGCCTCGGTTCGCATAAGAACTCGTAGGTATGTATTATTGTGTACCCATTATATTGTACTCGAGCGCGTAACAAAGTCGAATGCTCCATTACGACGCGTGGCGTTAGGCCGCAATTTTCTTCTTCTTGTTGTTTCCCTCCGTCTTTTTGCGCTCGTGTCGAGTAATGGCTTTGAGCTTTGCAAGCGTACAAAAGCACGCACAACGTGCCATGCGCACACAAGCCTGGGATTTATGTAACGATTTACATTATCTTCCGGCGCGTTTCGATTGTACGCCAAGTCTGCGGCGAAAGGCGTTTCATTTGCCACATCAATGAAGGACACGATCGCAAAAGCTCGAACGTGGATGTATGGTGAACTCGCGGTGCTTTGCATCAAAAACGCCCACCGCGGATAACGCGCTCTCGCGCGCATTCCTGTTCCATCTGGCCGGCGAGTCGCCGCTGCTGTCCGATGAATCGCGCGATAGGGCCCGAATACATAAAGGCTTTTGCTCGATGAAACGAAAAGAGAGAGGAATTTGAGAACGTATCGTGTATACTTACACATGTGCGAGTTGGGGGCATCCCTTTGAGTGCCTTTTTTTAAAAAAAAAGATTATTGTTTTGGTCCATAGGCTGTGTAAGTTTTTAGAGGTGGTTCGTGAATTGTCCAAAAACAACTGTACTCTCGTAAAAGCCTCCGCGTAAGTGCTCGTACAGATCAGTAAATAGTCGACTCATTCCTGTGATATACATGTACACACCTCCATTCATATGAGTTGGGGGCATCCCTTTGAGTGCCTTTTTTTTTTAAAGTCAGCAGTTTTCCTATACACTTACTCCAATTGTTGCATAACATTTATAAAACAGCTCAGTGTTACTACTGTCAATAAGGGTATAAGTAGTAATTAGATGAAATGGTTACGTGGCATATAAACATTTTCCACTTATCGAACTCTCGGCGTCAAATGTATGAAGGAAATATTTTACAACACTGCGTGGATCTGATTGAATATAGTTTATACTCATTCGTGTATAGTTGATGAAAGGACGATTTGGTTCATATTTATAAAATACTTTTTTTTTTTTTTAATGCGTGTTATTTTAACATACACTCAAGACTTGTATTTACGGTAAATCGCAAATAGTTCTGGCACGATAACCGCACCGGGAAATGACTATTAATACGCGTGGTTTAATGTTTCCTTATACTTGTAACTTCGTGTGACTGTATGTATAACAATACAATCGTGCATCTCATGATTACAAACTCGCCCAAAATTACATTCTGATTGCAAAAAAAAAAAAAAAAAAATTTTGATTTTCACTCAACACACCGTTCCTCCGTAAACAATTTTTTTTAAATCATTACCTTCAAGCCTGATTTAGAGTTTGGTTGCAACCGCGAGTCGTCAATCAATACCGTCACGAGTATACACGTACCGTATACACACAGCAAAGTAAAAACGCGAGAGTATACTCATTTCCGGCTAATAACTCCGTATCAGAGGGGCCATCACGAGCAGGTCCGCTCGCGAGTACCTATAATGCATGTACAGCTGCATACAAGAAATCCGTTTAAATCATCAGGGAAAACATAGCGCGTTATAAATTACAATATATAGTGTGTAGGTACTCATCACCAACTCTTGATTATTTTTTATTATTATTATTATTATTATTATTTTTTTTTTTCGTCAACTTGATTCTCAAATGATACAGGCACGGCCCACTTTTCGCGACAAAATTAGTATAAAGTGTAGATGTAGGTAGCGCGTTTTTTTTTTTTTAATTCCCTATTATAACGGCATGGAGTATCTTGTTTGTTTGTTTGTTCGTTTTCCCGGTTCATTTTCGTTTTTTCGTCGCTTCAAGTCTTGGTTTTTTTTTTTTTCATTACCTGCATCTCCAGCGCCACCGTTGCGGTGCGCTCGAGCATATAATAACACCGCGCGCACGCCGGGATTTTATTCCTCCTTGGAAAAATCCAACCGACCATCATCATCATCATCATCCGCACTGTCCTTTTGTACGTACATATATATATGTACTTTGGGGCCGGCCGCTGGAATTTAAATTATACGATTGTGGGGGCTCGCTTGGCTGGCATTTAACGAGATTTGCGCTGGAATTCCACAAATGGGCTTTTTTTTGCGCTCCCCGCTCCTTCTCTCTCCTCCTTTGCCTCTTCGGCTCCTCTCTCGTTATTCTGCCTCGTGGTAATTGACCGTCCCATTGTTTAAAAATCGAGACTGCCTTATCGAGGGATTAACTGGGAAACAATATTTTACTTTTAAATTACATCCCACCCTCTCTCCGATGGTACGTGGGGCGGGGAGAGGCTTCAAATGTGTATTTTACAATGGGTGCATATGCGCGAGGGTGGGCGAATCAACGTCACCTTGCGTTGGGTGTTTGGTCGATAATTATTCGCCAATGCTTTTTTTTTTTTTTTTCTCCTTACGTACAATATATTGTATATATCGACGTAGGTACACATATACATGTATGTAACCGAGAAATACCTGTCCGAAGCCCGTGCGTCGTGAGCGTGGGGCTTCCCTGCTCTCTATTACCCGAGCGCAACCCTTTCTTTTCTGGGTACGGTATATATAGGTACGACCGATCTCTGTGTATTATATACGTATACTGCTCTTATATGATTTTTTTTTTTTTTTTTTCTACTGAACGTCATGTGTAAGGTCGCCGAGGGAAACAAAAAGAAGAAATTTCATTGCAAAAATTATTATTAATTTTGTTACGGTTACGATTGGTGTACCTCTTTGAACTAATAAATGGTCCCTCGTGTTTAAGTATATGTATTTTTGAAAATGATGTGAATCATGAGGAAGCAAAAAACCTCTTTTAAACTCAATTAAATCCAATAGTTTATACGAAAGCGTCCATTTCTAGAACAAGTGGTATACAGTGTAACTTTTACAGGCTAAATAGTAGATGTGAGAAGCAATTTTAATTATTAAAAAAAAAAAACAATAATAATAAAACTCTCACGTGTGAATATTTAAAAACCAAGTAGTTGTTGGGAAAAACAATTTTTGTGATTATCAATTATATTTATTTGTCAATTCAACACAGGAGAGTATTTTGTCAAAGCCTCGTATCGAATAATGTACATTTCAACCAATGAATTATACAAAAAACAACTTGCAATCCTTTTGCACCGATGTAAGTATTGTTGCGATAATGTTGATGCAATTGCCAATTATTTATGAATACATTTATACAAGTCGATTTTCCAACCTGGAAATTCCTGCTGAAAAACCTAAACTCCTCGACATACCTATACCAAATTTCTCATCTCGAATCTTCCGTACACTATACATACATGCGTAATAAAAAAATTTGAAACGGCCGCAGGATGAGTTCAGAAAGCGAAAGGAGGAGGACGAGCGTCAGGCGCAGCTCAATCGCTCGCTGCGTGACTCCCGCAAGCTGCAGGCCCTCGAGGACCGGGCGACGATACTCTCCGGCCAGGAGAACTTGGCTTACGCCCAGGACGAGGTGACCACGGCCTCGGCCCTGCCCAGAACGCCGAGCACGCACCAGGCGCGCCTTCCCGAAGTCGAAGAGCCACCGGTGCCGCTGAGTAAGCACGAGTCAATTTCTTTTTTTCTTCTTCTTCGTTTATTACACACCCACATGGCCGAGGACTCCTCCAGTTCCTTCCCTTGAGACTCTCATCAGCGTGACTGATGTATATATGTATACTGTTTAATGCTGGAACAACGAGTCTTCCTCCTCCGCTCCAGCCCCTTTACCTCGGCAATTTGAGGATTCCTCGATTCCCGTGCCACCCGAGACGTGGACCATTTGTCTTTGAGTCCCAAACGCGTGGCAAATGAAATGTATATAAATGAACCTCTTGTTGGTCGGAATTGCAGCGATAGGCGAGGTGGTGGCGATACTGGAGAGGCTTCAGCTGCAGCTGCGCAACATCAGCGGGAGCATGGGGATCTCGGGCCCGGGGGTCGAGGCGGAGATCGAGGCAGTGAGGACCCTCCTGGGCCAGAAGCGCTTCGCCACGGCACTGGCCACCCATCACGCGCTCAAGCACCGCCTGAGGTCCGGCAAGAGCCTCAAGCTACACACGGACGACGCGTCCAGCCTCGCCAGAGACGTGAGTCACCATTGTTTCTTTTCCTTTTTTTCTCTCTCTCTCTCTCTCTCTCTCCTAAAGTTCCCCTGATCGATGATGCTCGGCTGGCCACTTTGAATCAAATCTCAAGGGATGGATGATCCAGGTCAAGCTCGATTTTTCTCATTTGGAATGTTAATCGCGTCGACGCCATTACCTACGATCAAGCAACGATACCGTCCCTCGGCACGGGTTGAAATTAAACGTTCCCCCGTTGAAATGTGAAACGCAAAGAGAACGAATACAATGACGTCGCGCTACGAGGTTCCGCGAAACAAGTAAACGCGAGTGGTATAGCCGCGACAAGGATCCACCTGAGCCGTCGCGCGGAGGCTCCGATGGCAGATAAGAGCCAGAGATGGCCTGGAATAATAAAAGTTGAGTCGGCTCCCACGAGGGCACGCATGACCGGCGAAACGATCTCGCGTACACCGAAAGCATACCCACACGAGTGAGTACACGACCTCGCGGAAGAAGGGGGATTCCGAAAAAAAAAAAAAAAAAAAAAAAAAAAAAGCTCACTGTAGCTTCTTCCCCACTCTAGTCCTTCTCCCGTGAAATGTAAAGTAAAGCCTGACGATTCGTCCTGTATGGCGACAGTGCGTGGAGGTGCTGGAACAGTGGACGCAGTCGGCGACGGTGACGACGGCCAGTGGTACAGCCGCGGCGCCGACCTCGGCCGGCGAGACGATAGCCGCTGCTGAGGAGCTAGTCCGGCTGCTCACGAGCTACGAGATGGAGGGCCTGCTGTTGGCCCACGACACGGCCGTAGCTTGCGTGGACGGGCTGCAGCGCAAGCCGGGCTCCCCGGGTGCCCCGCCCAGTCCGTCCCCGAGCTCGAGGGACTCGCGGATGGCCGACAACATCAAGATCATCAAGATCGAGAAGACAAACGAGCCGCTCGGCGCCACCGTCAGGAACGAGGGCGACGCTGTCATTATCGGTAAGTCCCTGATGACGATTTTTATCTCCCTTTCGAGTACTCGTACAAACCTTGGAAACTACCTTTTCTACGCGTGTAATTTAACTATACAGGCCCCTCCCGAGTTTTAGCTGATTGCGCTATTCACCACTTGGGATGAACTTTTTGCTAATCAGTTGATAAAAAAAAAGTTTCATTGCCTCTCCAACGGGATGAAAGTTGTTCGGTATCAACAACTGCGTGCTCTTGCGCAACGTTTAATTGAATGCATCTGGGACTCGGATGTTTTTCCCATGTTCTCACCTCTTATATACCACCTCGTTTACGTTCATCACATCGCGCTTACAAATAAACTGGGGGGTTGGTTATCCGAGGAATAAATTTGCAGTTGCATAAGCAAGTGTGGAAGGCAAGCTGCTCCGCATAACGTTGATCGGTAGCATGTGGGTCGATGGAACGTATGACTCCTTTTTTTTTTCTCTCTCCATCGTGGGAATATATAGTTTGTACAACATATTGTACGCATCGTGTAAATGTAAAAGGTGATACGCTTGGATTAATCGTGCATTTGTTCCTTTTAACGATGGGCTCGGCGTGCAGATAATGGACACACGGGTGACATAACGCTGGAGGTGAAAGAAGGTTTCTGCTCAACGTCTCTTTTTTTTCTTGCAATGAGTTTTTTTTTTTTTTTTTTTTTTTTTTTTTATCGTTGATAACGTGTGTGTGTGGTTTTTACGAGCGACTAACTTTCGTGTGATTTGATGCGCTTTTCAATTTTAACGAGAAATCACTAACATGTTACTTGAAGATTTGTGCGAGCATGAGATTTACCCGCTCACCCCGAGAAATGTGTACTTGATGTTTTTGGGAATGAAAAAAAAAAAAAAAAAAAAAACAATAACACAGTACCTAACATTTTTCAAGAGTAAGAAGAAGAAGAAGGATTTCCATACCGCACGCGCTTAACTGACCCTCTCGAATCCAGCAGTTTTTCCTTATAGCCTGCTAACGTGGAAAAATTATAACTCGGTGTGTTTCTTCAATTTTTTTTTTTTGAAACAAGGTCGCGTGGTGCGAGGCGGCGCAGCGGACAAGTCGGGCTTGCTGCACGAGGGCGACGAGGTGCTCGAGGTGAACGGCGTCGAGATGCGGGGCAAGAGCGTCAACGACGTCTGCGACATACTCGCGGGCATGCAGGGCAGCCTCACCTTCCTCATATTGCCGGCGCCGACGCCCCAGAGGAACAACAACCAGCGCGAGGAGTCCCAACAGGTGACGAGAACATCATAACTAGAATATTCCCCATAATTGCACAAGCGTCCCTTGGACCTTCAAAACTCTGTACCTTTTTTTTTTTTTTTTTTTTTTTTTTTTTTTTTTTTTTTTTTTTTTTTTTTTTT